GGGCAGTCGTGGAATCAGTGACCACTGATAGCCACATAACACAGGCAATAATGGGCAGTCGTGAAATCTCTTCCAAGGCCATTAATCCAAAACTCTTCAGTTTAGCCTCTTGCAAGTTTTTAGGACAAAGACAGAAATCAGCCATGTTCTTTGCCAAAATATCACAAGAACAGTCAGTTTCTAGGCCACTTACTAACATCCTCCCCTCTGAAACTCCTTGAGCTGGCCCCACACTGCTCTCAGCACTTCTGTCCTTATTCCCACTAGGATGGTGCATTAAAGCCCCCTTAACACTCTCAGGTGCTTTCCTAATCCAAAGTTCACATTCCACCAACAAGTAACATGGCTAGGCCTGTCACAGCAACACCCCACTCCTGGTACCAATGTCTGTCTGAATCACTGTTCTACTGCTATGAAAAGACACCATGACCAAGGCAACTCTTATGAACAAAAGCATTTAATTGGGGGCTTGTTTACAGTTTCAGAGGTTTAATCCATTATCATCACGGCGAGGAGCACAGCAGTAAGCAGAAAGGCAGGTACTGGAGCAATCACTGAGATGAAAGCCACATCCTGATCCATAGGCAGAAAGAGAGGAAAAGAGTCTGCAATGGGCTTTTGAAACTCCAAAGCCCACTCCCAGTGACACACTTCTTTCAACAAGGCCACACCTCCTAATCCTTCTAATCCTGTCAAACAGTTTTACTCTCTGGTGACTAAAAATTCAAATACATGAGCCTAAGGGAGCCATTCTTTCTTTCTTTCTTTCTTCCTTTCTTTCTTTTTTTGAGGCAGGGTTTCTCTGTATTGCTTTCATTCTATAGACCAGGCTGATCTCAAACTAACAGAGATTCACCTGCCTCTGCCTCCCAAGTGCTAGGATTGAAGGCATACACCACCACTGCCTGGCTAGAAGATCATTCTTTTTCGAGCCACCATAATATGTGATGATAAGTAAAGACTAGGGGCCCACAGATTTGAAAGGGGGAAGAGATGGGATAACAATGTAATTATATTTTAATTAAAATTTTAAAATCAAGTTATCCCTAAAAATGAAGAAAGAAAGGTGTTCTCTATTGAGATGATTTTTCTGGGAATTGGGAGTTTTCTGGAATAGCTTATAGTTTGGTGTTCAGATGAAGCTGGAAAAAACTCTGTTCTCAGGCTTCTCTCACACCTCCATTGGGAGTCTTGTCTTATTTCATGCAAAGAAGTGACCCACCCAGCAAGATCCCTGCTTTTGGTGTGAATGGAGACTTTGGTCTGCCACTTTTTGGTGGCTCAGCAGTTAAGAGCACTGCCTGCTCTTCCAAAGGTCCTGAGTTCAATTCCCAGCAACCACATGGTGGCTCACAACCCTCTGCAATGAGATCTGGTGCCCTCTTAAGGCAAAGACCTGGTCAGTCATTCTCATCAACTTAGATCATGAAATCCAATATTGACAAGTGCAACAGAACCATCATATATGGACTGCCCATGCATGCTTCAGCATTGCCAGGGCATAAGTTGCTATGAGAACTCCTTCAGCTAACAGCCTTTAGGATACCAGCCTACTTTGTGCATGGTCTCATGCACTATAAATGCAGACAAAAAGCGTGTGTGGTTCTCTTGGCTGCTGGATTTGATTCCAGTTCCCAGCGCATGCAGAGGACTGCAGATCCCTATTCTTTCTGGGAGTTTATCCCCAGATAAATAAGCCTTTGTTATACTCCATTTCAGGCTATTGTAGAACTTTTTTGTATGCCAACAAAATGGCGCCCAATGTGGGGCAATTATATCCACATAAAACCTGAGAGAGCTTAGGAAGGAATTCTAGACACAAAGGAACAGAGGTAAGCACAGCTTCTTAGTAGCAGCATTTTTCTCGGGTGGAATCTGTTTGCTATGATATGGGATTCCCCTCTGTATGCTGTGAATATGTTTTATTACCATTGGTTAATAATAAAGCTGTTTCAGCAAATGGCTTAGCAGAATATAGCCAGGCTGGAAGACAGAGAGAGAGAGAGACTAGGCAGAGTCAGAAAGATGCCACGTAGCCATTGAAGGAGAAAGACACCAGATCAGAACCTTACTCAGTAAGCCACAGCCTTGTGGCAATACACAGATTAATGGAAATGGGTTAATTTAAGATCTAAGAGTTAGTTAATAAGAAACCTGAGCTAATAGGCTAAATAATGTTGTAATTAATACCTGTTTTAGTTTCTGTGTGATTATTCAGGTATGGCCAGCCGGGAAACAAAAGAGCAGTCTTATTCTAAAATAAATTTTATTCAGTTTCATACCACATCACAGCTTGGCATGGAACTTAAAATACTGAGGACCTGGGATGTAGCTCAGTTTGTAGAGTGTTTGCCTAACATGCATGAAGCCATGGGTTCAGTTCTCAGCATTGTATAAACTAGACTTCATGGATCATGACTGTCATTCCAGGACCTAAGAGGTGGAGGAGAATCAAGAATTCAAAATCATTCTCAGTTACATAGCAGATTTGAACTAACTTGAGCTACCTGAACTCCTGTCTCAAATAATAATAATAATAATAACAATCTTGAAATGTTGTTCCTTGTACCTCCCTGTTACCTGATATGCCTCTGGACATGAGGTTGGTTGTAGGCAGAGACTGCTCATTCATTTCCTGGTCACCCAGACCCAAATAATCACACAGCAACTATATTAATTACAACACTGTTTGACCAATAGCTTATGTATTTCTAACTAACTCTTACATCTTAAATGAGCCCCATTTCTATTAATCTGTGAATCACTATGAGGTTGTAGCCTACCAGTAAGGTTCTGGCAGGCAGCTGGCGTCTTTCTCCTTCGGCAGCTACATGGCGTCTCTCTGACTCCACCTACTTTCTCTCTATATCTCTGTTCAGATTCCTGCCTGGATTTACTCTACTATGTCATTGGCTGAAATAGATTCTTTAATAACCAATGGTAATAAAACATATTCATAGCATACAGAAGGGAATCCCACATCAGTTGGTGGCACTCAGTAACACCCCCCCCCCCGCCGCCCATTGATTGCCCTTCTGCTACCAGTGGTTGCTGTCTGAGCCCATTGTATCTCCAATTCTTGGCATCTTCAAACCATACATCAATACCAAAGTAGCAAGGACTTTTATTCAGAAGAGAAAGTGCAAGGTAGACATAGGCAGGGAGTGGCAGATGTGAGCCAGGGCACTCAGGAGCCCGAGTATTCCTAGAGACTCTTTGGGTCCTTGAGGAAGAGATACTGGTTGTAGGGTGGGGGGTATGAGTGTGTTTCTGCTCTGATAAACTTTTGACTGGCATATGGAAACTTGGGCCTTTTGTGCAAACATGGAATATTTTCATCATATGCATAGGCATTAGATGGTAAATAGGAATTTTTCTCTAAAAGATCACACTAGGACACGGGTTACCTTATTGTACATACACCTAAAACCTATTCAAACTGGATGGGCTCTTTTCCTCTGGGCTATGGTTGACCACCATAGGGAAGTGACGTTCTTAGGGCAGAGTGACTGGTTGCTTTGTTGGGGAAGAAACAAGTGTGTTCTATATGAGAGAGATGTTGCTAAGCCGTCCCAGCTGTATCCATGCTGCTCTAAGAGTGTGGCTGGGCGTCAGGCCCACAAGGAGTCAGGATGTCCTGAGTGTGTCAGTCCCACCCCTGCAGCAGACTCATGTCTTTGTCCTTGTGTCTTTCAGATCAGATCTGACAAGGACAATGACATTCCCATCCGGTACAGCATCACAGGTGTGGGAGCCGACCAGCCCCCTATGGAGGTCTTCAGCATTGACTCCATGTCTGGCCGCATGTATGTCACCCGGCCCATGGATCGGGAGGAAAGAGCCTCTTACCATGTAAGTATCCATATATGGAACATAGCAATAGTGGGTGGTAATAGACTGTCCACTCTTCCACAGCCTTCCTGGTAGGGTGTCAGCAGCGAGCCTCACTTCCATCTGGCCCCAGGGGGACCCTGGCACCTACCAGATCAGACAGGTTTGCTCAACAGAATCATCAAACATTACAGTCAGGCCCGACCCCAGCACTTGCAGGCCAACTGAGCTTTAACTCTGCACACTGTCTCTCTGAGAGCCTCTAAGACAAGAGCTGCACAGAAAGGAGGAACAGTCAGAAAAGAGAGGCTGTGGGGTCTAAGCCGCCTGCTTGCCCCACCAGCACGGGACATGAGGGGACAGCCAGGTCCCTACCTCTCTCTGATGTGATGACCAAGTGACACTCTGCCTGGTTCCCCAAGCTTTGTGAGGGCCAGGGCCAGCACTTGACCTCTGGGAGCCTTGGGTGAGCCACTGAGGCCACCCTGGACTCAGGTCTCTCCCCAGCATGAAGAGATCTCAGCTGTGACATGGTTATAATGATATCCATCGTATCAGGTGGATAGAACAGAGGTGTGCTCAGGGTGTCGTGTGTGCCTGTGGCTAAATGCCAAGATGTTGAATGTTCAACGCTTTGACCATCATCTGAGAACAAAGGTGGAATTCTCAGTTTCTGCTCCCTGCTGTCATATTAATTGCCGAGACTTCTTGCTTCCGCTCTGTGCTGATTGCAGGCTAACCCTGCTATTCCTCAACCCGATGGCCAGTTCAGGACTGGTCATCCATCTCTCCACTCCAGAAGGAGGCTCCATGTGCATATCCACACTATATCCTCAGACAAAGCCAGAGTCTGGCCCTGAAGCTGCTTACAGCCCATCTGCGTAGAAGCAGGGATTACAGGAGGTTGAGTCTGTCACTGGCAATGGTTACCAACCCCCAACCAACCCCCAAAGAGTCTTGAGGAGCAGGGTGGTGTGCCCAAAAGACTGGCAAACCAACCTCAGGAGAGCCACAAAAGTCTCCTGCCACGAGATGACTACCCGAGCCTATAGCTGCAGTTTATATTCCCAAGAGCAGGAGCTGCTGCCCATCCCGTGACTTCTATGGAAGAGCTGAGTGACCCCGGTCAGACTCAGAGCATCAGCCCTTCAGATGCCCCTCTTCAGAGATACTTCACGGTCCTTCCAGATACCCCCTTATCTACTCCCTTCATTTCTCATCTGTCTGTTCATCTGCTCATGCTTACATACACCTTCCCATCCACTCACCATCCGGTCACCCACCTATCCATCTGCCCATCCAGGTAAATACCTAACTGCTTACACATATACCCCCCTGCCCATCCAGCCATCTACTTATTCATCATCCACCTGCCTCTCCACCTATCCACTTATCCACCCATGCTCCTCCCATTCATCTATCCACCCATCTGCCTATCTATTTACCTATCTACCAACCCACCATCTATTCATTCATCCACCCACTTGCCCATCCTAACCATACATCCATCCTTCCATACAAGGTTTATTTCTTGAGCATTCGACATATGTTGGTTCCTATGTTAGGTGCTGGGAAAACATGAATGACCGGAGTGAACATGGGCCAAGTTTTGGGGAATGTGCACCGTTCTAAGCTGAGGAACAACTGAATTTTTCATGGACCAACACCCCTGAGGAAGATTGGGTTCCAGGTTTTCAGAACCAGACATAGGTTGTGGGAAGAAGCAGGGGTGATGCTGGTACCAAGAGCATCTCTTCATCTGTGCCTGGAGATGCTATTTGAGCATCCTCACTTTGCTTCTCCTGTGGTGGAAGCCAAGGTCAGGGAGAGGCAGTGAGGAAACAAATCTTGTTGGTTCGGGTGGAGAAAGAGATTCCCTCGGGAGCCAGAGTTGGAAAGTCATCGTGTCCTTTTTGAGCAGGAAGATGATTTTGTTCCCAGGCTGAAGAACTGAGGAAGAAGAGTTGGAGCAGGGTCTCTACCCCGACTTCATGTTCGAGGCTGGCAGGCTGTTTAAGGCTGAGGCTTGGCTCGGGTGCAGACTTAAGCAGGTGGTAGTAAGTGCCCAGCTTGGCTGCTGGTTTCTACACAAGAAGGGTCAGTACTTCCCCAGGGGCCTTGATGGGCCTTGCCTCACTCTGTGAAGTCCAGGTAACACTTGGCAAAGCTATGGAAAGGACCACTCTGGCAGGCCTCCTCTCTCCACCTGTCCTTCTGTCTGCCTCATGCACACATGGCTTCTGGAATATGTCCTTTAAAGACGTCTGTGCCCAAGTCGGGGGGAGGGAGGCTCAACAAGATGTGGGTTTGAAGTTGGGAGAGAGACAGAGCAGGGATAGCCCAGCCCGCTCGCCGTCACCTTCCCTGGGGGACAGGTCACCTGAAGTCGGCTCTGTATAGGAGCAAGTTGCTTCCTCACGGGCCACGGAAGGAAACCACTCACTGATTAAACTTACTTCTTCCAAGATTAGACAGATTCATTTTTAATTATCGTGGTCTATAAGAGAAAGCCCCTGGCCTGAGGAGTTTCTGCTTTCTCCTTCCTCCTCTCCCTGAGGCCTTGACTTGAGGGCCCTATCAAGTCGTCTGATTTCCCACTAGAATGTTCTATCTTCCCTGTGCTTTAGGACATCTCCAAAATTGCTTTCATGCTTCTGGGACGTAGCAGCTGTTGGCAGGGCTGTCCCGGGCAGGAAACAGCAATAACTGGACCTTCTTGGGCTCCCTTCCTCCGCATCTTCAATAATCTCCCTACTGGAAGTTTTCGGGCCTGCCGCCTTCAGCCGGTGGTGGTCAGTGTGCCGTCCACTCTGCTGTCCCTGCCCCTGCTTGTCATGTGTACAGCACAAGCGTGAAGCGGAGGGTGGGCCTCTGGTCCAAAATGTAACAAGGATTTCAAAATAATGAAACAAATTATACGCGTTAAATGGCACACCATGAGCACAGAGCATCCGTGACCGACAGGTCCTATGTGTCCACCTTTGACAAGGTGTGAGGATGACGTCACTTCTGCAGAAACCAGGCATGAAAGCCCACAGGTCTCGCCTCTCACTCTCGCCCAAGTCGGAGCACCCAACACAGCTACTTCAGTTACCTGGGGGAGAACCCTCCATGCCAGTGTAGAGAGCAGTCTGGAGCCAACAGGATGCCTTGTGTGTCCCCTCTACCCTGTGTGAAAGCTCAGAAATGAAGACAGATCTGCAGTAGGGGCAACCTACCAGAGGATGGGCAGGCTTCTGGGTCCAAAGACAGCACAGCAGGTTCCCAAGGTCCTGGTTAGCTTGGACCTCCATCCACCCCCTCCCTGTCAACCTCCTCCTGCCTGAACCCCTCCAGCCTACCAAGCCCCTGGCTCAGTGCTGCAGAAGTCCTGGCCGCAGGGACAGGGCCTTCCACATACTTCTCACCACCTCAGCCCACCACACGCTGCCACTGTATACATGCAAAACCAAGGACAATCTGTCAAGGCTACTGGTTCCTGAGATGTCCTCATTCAACATGCCTCTCTCCCCCCCTCCCTCCCTCTCTCTCTCTCTCTCTCCCTCTCTTTTTCTCTCCATCCTTTGCCACACTGTGCATAGCCCTACAATGCAGCAAGCAGAAGAGGTGGGCCAGAGCTAATGCCTGTGGGCTCACTACAGACACCTAAATCAGCATCCTCTCCCACAGCTTGTTCAGGCCTCTCGGGAGCAGGCATCTAAGCCCCAACTGCTCGACTGGGCATAAGTGGCCTAGCTCAACCCCTGTGAGAAGACAGAATGTCCTGTCTGCAGGGCACCTGTCCAGCCCAGGCATGTGAAAACCCGGGAAATCCGGGTGACTTTGACAGCGCAGACCCAGGGGACCCAGGTATCCACCCGGTTTCTGCTCCCATGACCCCATCTGCACAGAAGGGAGAGCCAAGGCTCGCAGAAGTTTCTGGACCTGTCAATCTCGCCTGAGCCCCACCCAGGGGCCTCTGCCCCTTTCTCCAGTGAGCTGGGAGCTATTGTGCCACCCAGCGCAGAGTGTCCAGGGAACCACCCACACCAGAGACAATCATTGTAGCACTAATCTAATTGGTCTTAGTAATAAAAACACAAAGTCAGATATTAATTAGGGGGTGGAAGCTGAACGACCAGAGAAGCAGAGCAGGCAGTCACTAGTTCCTACCTCTACGAAATCCTCAGACCAAATGGGGTGTCCTGTCTCTACAAGTCCTCAGATTGAAAGCTGTCTCTATGAAACCTTGGACTGAATCCTGAGCTCCTGTCTCCTCCTGCCCAGCCATGTCACTTCCCTAGTACCGGAATTGAAGGTGTGAGCCACTGCTGGGCCCTGTTTCTCTTGACTAATTCAGCCTCACGCAGCCCAGGGTGAACTTGAACTCACAGAGATCTGCCTGTTTGCCTCTGTCTGGGATTAAAGGTGTGGGCCACCACTGCCTGGCCTCTATGGCTGACTAGTGTGGGTAGCTATCTCTGCACTGGGATCTTCAGGCAAACTTTACTTGTTAAAGCACGAACAACCATGATCACCAGTCATACCCCTGATGTGGCTACCAGCTCTGACGTGTCTGTTGCTCCGTAGCTCCGAGCCCATGCGGTGGACATGAACGGCAACAAGGTGGAGAATCCTATCGATCTGTATATCTATGTCATCGACATGAATGACAACCGCCCCGACTTCATCAACCAGGTCTACAACGGCTCTGTGGATGAGGGCTCCAAGCCAGGTAAGGCTTGGCAGATGTGCTGACTTTGTTTCTTGGGAGCCCCATACATCCTGCGGGACCCACACGTGGGGTTGGAACACTGCACGAGTCTTTACAACCCCCATCCTCACACACCTCAGGGTATCAAGACACTGCAGAGAGTGGTCGCTGTAGCAACAGGGAATAGCCTGGTGAACCTCACGCCTTGGGTGAAGAAGGAGAAGGGAAGAAGGGACTATTGAGAAAGAAAAGATGGATCCTAGCCAAGGGAGCAAACTTTTTACCAGACTAGAATTGATATAAAATTTTAAGAAAGAATAGACGTGGAGGACGGAAAGACAGCAGAAGAGTGGACAGACAGAGAAGTGGGGACATTTTATACCTGGCCACTGTTCGTCTGCATGGGGTCTCATCTGAATAGGTAGGAGGAGGTGTTCACTATCTTGTAGTTAATGTTTGGGGGGGGGCGAGTGTGAACGTGGGTGTCCCCGTGTGAGTACACATGTACGAGTGTGTATGTGGAGGGCAGAGGCTAACCTTGGGTAGTGTTCTTCACGTCATCACCCACCCTGTTTCTGAGACAGCGTCTCACTCATCCAGAAATCTCTGCACCGGCTAGACTGGCTGACCCAAGCCTCGGGGGTGCATCTGTCTGCGCCTCTCCAGCTCTGGGGTTTTTATCATGTGCCTCTGTGCCTGGTTATTTTTACATGGGTTCTAGAGCCGGACACAGGTCCTCATGCTGGCAAGGCAAACACGTCATCAGCTGAGCATCTAAGGCAGTAAAAGGCGCAACACCACTTGTCCTCCAGAAAAATGGCCGTCTGGGCTGAGACCCGGCAGTCATTAGGGGTGAGACTCTAATTGTTTGTATCCTGGGTCAGGCTCCAAGAACTTAGGCTTAGATTGTTAGAGCGGGAGATTTTGCCTTGGCCTTTGGTCTTTTTGTCTCTGTGGTAACATGTAGACTAGGCGCTGAAGTGCAGGAGAGGGGACCATGTGTGGGAAGAGAACCTAGGAAAGGAAGAAGCTGTGCCAACCTGAGTCAGGAAACCAGGCCAGAGACCAAGGCCCATCAAACAAGCAGACCCTTCTCCCAGCCCAGAAGGTGAGCCCGTGTCAAGATCTCCGTCCCCCTGAGAACTGACCGGAGAGCCTGGAGAACAGACCTGGAGGACACATGGCTTTACCTCACTATGAGTCCGGTCTCAATGTCTCTGCATTCCACAAGTATTGACAAGAAGGTGTGCCACTCACCAGGTAGCCGTGAGGTCACTTTAGGCGCAGGCAGCTATGTATGGGGGTCACAACACAGGCACCCACATTCCGAACCCTGCTGGAGGCCTACGTAGAGGTGCAGGTGCTAGCCAGCCTCACACCTATAGGCCCACTAGCTGGGTCTCTTCAGGAGATTTAAGCCTAGGGATTAACAAATTCCTGTGTGATCCCACCGAGCTGTCTCCTGTCTTGAGGACTGGGAGGACATCATTGGACAAGCTTTCCCCTGGGGAAGGGTAGAAAGGATGAGGCCATGGGAGCCTCTGCTGAAGGTGCCAGGCATAGCCATTCAAAACCCGTGACACCCAAGTAAGCTTGAAGTTCAAACAGACAGCAAGCCACTCCACATGGGCTCCAGTCCCAGCCCTGGAGTTCTGCAGAGTACCGGGCAACACGGGCAGTTTCTTCTCGGAAATCCAGTGTAAGCAGAGCCAGGGCAAGCTGTCCTCCACGAGGACACCTGCTCCCCCGGCTCCGTGGGCCCCATGAGGGGTCAGCATCGTCTGACTAGGGCAGGAGGGCGAACATTTATCACACTCTCCTCCCTGGGTGGAGGTTGTCATTGCCCCGTCTCTGGGGACTGCTCTTTCAACATGGCGATTGCATTTTCGAGTGATTGTCTTTCAGGACAGCGAGACACTGGCGAGTCCAGTGTCACCGGAGGGAACAGGATGTAACATTATTTCTGCAGAACCATAGGCAGCTCATCTCAAGGCAGTCTCTTGAGGGACAGGGGTAGGCGGTGGGCGGGCAAATTAGCTACAAGCAACCGAAGAAAACGAATGAGGGCAGCCAAGGGCACCTCTTGGAGGGACTGGAGGGAGGCACAGGCTCAGCTGGGGTGTGATTTTGTTAGCTCAGAGGCAAGTGGCCTGTCGTCCAAGACCTAGGACTTATCTAAAGAGCCTGAGGGTCTCCTCATCTTTCTCTCACAAATCGAGCTAACCAAACCTTCTTTTAAAGCAAACAGAAAAATATAATTAGGATATTAATAGTTTAAAAAAAAACCAGCATGTGTAGCTGGCATTGACTCGTTAGGACCACAAAAGCAGTGTGGTACCGCACTGCCTCTCAGAAAGCCCCATAGCCATGGGGCGGGCAGATAGACAGTGGGTCCTTCCCAGAGCTGACCAGGCAAGGGAAACCCTCGCAGCTCTGAACCCTGCTCCCGGAACACTCACAGAAAGCTTTCCAAGGACTGTGTACGTCCTGAGCGACCTTGAGGGTTCCTGGGACTTCAGAATCTCTCTCTGGTCCCTGGCGGAGTCACATGTTCAGACCAGGTGTGGGATGCGGCCTGTTGATGTCACTTTAACCCAGCATCTCCCTCCAAGGGCCCCCAACCCTTGGACCCCAACCAAGGGCGAGGATATGGCTTTCCCTTCCTGTAGCGCAGTCTCTGGACCCTGGGAATTGTCTGCAATTTCTCCTCCTCCATCAGTAAATTACAATAATGGAAGGGTCTTTGTAGAGAAAGGGAAGCTGCTGCCGGAAATTAGTCATTATTCTCTGGAAAGATGGGCTAATGAGAGGTTTCGGATGTGCGTCCTAATGGGAAACAAATGGGTGAGGATTAAATATTGACTAAGCTGTCGGAGAACACTAAAGGGCGGGGTTCATGCAGGGACCCTCGTGAGCAGCCTGGGGTCCCACGTGCAGCCTGTACACCTCACTTTCCTCCACACCCCAGTCTTCTCACAATTGCAGGAGTTCACTAGAAATGCCTTCTCATCTAAGTTATGAGCCTGTTTAGAAAATACATATTCAAACGTAACTGTGAGAAGTAACATAGCCGGCCACCCCGCCCCTCTTCACCCGACTTCCACAGTAGAATGGGGCACACCTAGGAGGTGGCAACAGTGCCGCCACAGCCATGTTCAGGGCTGGTCAGTGTCCTCAGAACTCCTGATGTGTTTGGTATCTTGATATCTGTGTGATTGTCTGGGTCTGTGTGTGTGTGCATACATCTGTGTCTAGGTGTCTGTGTGTGTATATCTGTGTGTCTGTGTTTGTATGTGAGGCTATGCATGTGTGTGTATACATGAGTGTCTGTGCCTCTAGGTGTCTGTGTCTAGGCATCTGATCCTATGCAGTTTTGCCACACACATGTGACTCTTGACCCTTGCCATCAAGACACATAAGACCTATGACCTCCATGAACTCACGGAACCTCTGGGATAGGAAACCTGTGTGAGAAGTGGATCCCTGAGGACAGGCCTTGAGGCCTGATAGTCAAATCCCAGTTCCTGCCGGCTCCCTGTTTCACTGAGATGCGAGGAAGCCAGGAGTCCCGGCAGTGTTCAGAGTTCCCTCCTCCTGTTGCCTTGCCTGCTCCCTAGGGTGATACCCCCAACTGTGAGCTTCCTCTAAGTTGCTTCCTGACAGGCCCCTTTGTAGACACATCCCTTGCCCCATCCTCCACCCACCCCAGTCCCTCACCCTGGCAAGCGCTGTCCTGTTCTCTCTGGGGCTGGCGTTTTACCCAGCATGAGGCTCTGGAGGTTCATCCGGGCCATCACATGGGTCCCAGGGCAGAGGTCCATGGTCTAAGCAACAGGTATGGCACAGTTTACCAGCTGGCTGCCCTCTGAGAAGTGCCAGGGTGATGTCCAGCTGGGTCCATCACAAAGGAAGATGCTGAGAGGTAACACGTATGCAGAATGTTGGAGAACACACAGCTTCACTTCTCTGGGTTGAGGATCTGTGGATACACTTCCAGCTCATACACCGTAGTGGCTCCACGATAAACTGGGAAAATCGCCTTATATGTAGGGAAGATTTGACTGCGCTCACCACTTCAGGGCATTCAGCCCATGCTTGGCTGCCTCCAAGGCTGTGGTGAGGCTGAGACATCGTTCTGACAGAGCATGGCAGAGGGATGCAGTTCCCCTCACAGCAGCTGGGGACAGAGGTCCGGCGGAAGAAGTAGCCAAGCACAAAACAGACCCCTCAAACACACCCCAGTGACATAGCTTCCCCCAGTTAGACCCCACCTCTGGTTCCCACCACCAATGCTAAGGACAAGCCTCCTGCCAGGAGCTCAATAAGGAATGGATTCGCTGGCTGGGTCAAAACCCCCATGATCTGATAGCCTCTCGATGATCAGATCCGCCTGCTGGGGACCAGGGCTTTTGGAGTAGTTCGCAGCAAACCATGGTGAGGTGTCACCACCTTCCCACTGCACCCCCATTCTGAGGACCTGCGCTTTAGCACAGGGGGCTTTAGAGGACATTTGGATCCAGGTATAGCAGGCTGTGAGCAGGGGTCAACTTTGGAAGGCACTTTCATGCCCTTCCTCAAGGAGCCGCCCAGTGCGACACTGCCATGCTGCGTGACAAAGCACCGCTGTGTGCCCTCGCAGCCTCTGCACGAGACAGTGGGAGGTGCACCGCGACATTGCCGCAGTCTGGGAGCGTGTTTCCCTAATGATGAGCGACACGCGGCATCTCGTCCCGTGTCTCTCACCATCTGTGCACCCTCTACGGTGACGGCTTGTGTCTCTGTCTGCCCCCTAATTAGATCGTCCTCGGAGGTGCTTTGAGAACCCCTCTCCCGCTCTGCCCACAGTCCTGTGCCTGTGTGCGGCTCGCACATTCTCCCCCTGCTCTGTGGCTTGTTTCCCCAGGCCCTTGGTGAGCAAAGTCTCAACTCTTGTTGAAGTCTTCTCTTGCAAGAATGCCTCCCATGCCCTGCCTTCTGAAACTCTTCCCATGCTGTTCTGTAGGAGTTTTGTGGGTTTATAC